TGCAAAGCAAAAAAATACATTGTTACAAATAAATCTAAATACATTGGCAATTACAACAAATATAATTGGACTGAATGCTTCACTTAAAAAGATTGGCCCAGGCCGGGCGCGGTGGCTTCCACCTGTAATCCCAACACTTTTGGGAGGCCAAGACAGGCAGATCACCTGAGGTCAGGAGTTCCAGACCAGCCTGACCAACATGGTGAAACCCTGTCTCTGCTAAAAATACAAAATTAGCCAGGCGTGGTGGCACATGCCCGTAATCCCAGTTACTCAGGAGGCTGAGGCAGGAGAATCGCTTGAACACAGGAAGCAGAAATTACAGTGAGCCGAGATCGTGCCATTGCACTCCAACCTGGGCAACAAGAACGAAACTCCATCTCAAAAAATAAAAAAATAAAAAAGACTGGCTGGGCCCAGCGGCACGTGCTTGTAATCCCAGCACTTTGGGAAGCCGAGACAAGAGGATTGCTTGAGCCCAGGAGTTCGAGACCAGCCTGGGCAATGTGGCAAGATCCTGTCTCTACAAAAAAATTAATTAACCAGGCGTGGTAGTGCATGCCAGTAGTCCCTCCTACTCAGGAGGCTGAGGTGGGAGGATCGCTTGAGCCCAGTAGGCAGAGGTTGCAGTGAGTCACGGTCGTGCCATTTGCACTCCAGCCTGGGCAACAGAGCAAGACTCCATCTCAAAAAAAAAGAAAAATACAGAAGAGAAAGTGAAAATGATCACCTATAGTTAGCTATTGTTAACATTGTTAGTGGATGCTTTGAGGCAATATTGTATGATTTTTAAAAGCCAAGCAGAAATTAAGGACATTTAGGTTGAACTAACATGTTAGGATGATGATAGAGATGTATCAGGATGACAAAGAAGGCTTTTGTGTGTGTGTGTGTGTAATAGAGATGGGTCTGTGTGAGCAGGCTGGTCTCAAACTCCTGGCCTGAAGTGATCCTCCCATCTCAGCCTCCCAAACCGCTAGGATTATAGGCAATGAGCCACGGCACCTGACCAAAAGAGGGCATTTTATAGTTAATGTTCTTAAAAATATCATCAGTTAATCTGTACTATTTTTTCTTTTTTCTTTTTTTTGTTTTAAGGAGACAAGTTCTCACTTGCTTTGTTGCCCAGGCTGGAGTGCAATGATGCAGTCTCAGCTCACTGCAACCTCTGCAGTGATCCTCTCACCTCAGCCTCCTGAGTAGCTGGGACTATAGGTGTGCACCTCCACACCCACCTAATTTTTTTTTTTCTTTTCAATTTTTGTGGAGGCAGAGTCTTACTATATTACCCAGGCTGATATGAAAATCCTGAGCTCAAGTGATCCTCCCACCTCAGCCTCCCAAAATGCTAGGATTACAGCCATGAACAGAATTTTATTTTTAAATGTAACCCTAAATTTATCTGGTGGTATCATTGACTGACTTTGACTCTTTTTATTTTTTATTTATTTATTTATTTATTTATGAGGCAGAGTCCTCTCTGTCACCCAGGCTGGAGTGCAAGGGCACGATCTCAGCTCACTGCAACCTGCACCTCCTGGGTTCGAGCAATTCTCCTGCCTCAGCCTCCTGAGTTGCTGGGATTACAGGCACCTGACACCAGGCCTGGCTAATTTTTGTATTTTTTATAGTAGAGACAGCATTTCACCATGTTGGCTAAGCTGGTCTCGAACTCCTGGCTTCCGGTGATCCGCCTGCCTCAGCCTCCCAAAGTGCTGGGATTACAGGCGTGAGTCACCACACCCAGCCTGACTCTTTTTAAATAAATTTGCTTTCTGATTTGAAAAAGTGTGAGAAATTAAGTAAGTTAAAAGAAAGCAATGCTGGAAAAAAGATGTTTTGTAGAACTTACTGCTGTTTTAATTTTTAGGTTCCCACTTTCCTGTTGGAGTAGTCCCTCCAAGAACAAAATCACCAACACCCGAATCTTCGACAATAGCTTCATATGTAACCTTGAGGAAAACGAAGAAGATGATGGATCTAAGAACGGTATTTAACTGGAAATTAATGTCTAGAAAGATTCTCAGACCTATTTATTGCTTTTTTACATGTTTTTATTTTCAGTGTCTTATCAAAATTATTTTTGCATACTCGAAGAAAAACTTAGTTATTCTTAAAATTTCGTTTATATTAGCACGTCAGAGGACAGACCTAGTCAATACCTAATTTAAGTTTCTTTTGATCAGCCTAGACGTGGAGTCATAGTCGTAGTCCACGATTTGTGGAATCTATTCTCTAATCACTGTGCTACACTCCTCGATGCCTCTAAGAATTTTCTCGATGAGAGGTATAGATGTGTCCTGTGGCCACCCAAAAGTTAATGGATTTTCTAGCTATCATGAGGTTGCAGGGCCTTTTAGCTATGGTATTAATAGCTTTAGAGTTTGCCAATCCTCTGGTTACTCTGAGAAATGTGAGTTGGGACTGGAAAATAAATCCTATATTTTACATTTTCATCTGAGATTCATTTAATTCGAACTCTAAACCAGTCTTGTTTGTTCTTTGGAAAATGCTGAGAATACTTAACTCCTTTTCTTCAAGTATTCTCTAGAAATTCGGGCTGCAAAAATACTTCCACTTTTTATCTTTGTAAATACTCTACCTATTTGGTATGAGATAATTTGAACCTATAAGACAAGACTGAAAGGTGCTACATATAAGATATATGGCTAGTCTTTTTTTTTTTTTTTTTTTTTATTTTAATGGATAGGGTTTCACTCTGTTTCCTGGGCTGAAGTGCAGTGGCATGATCATAGCTCACTGCAGCCTCCAACTCCTGGACTCAAGGGATCCTCTCACCCCAGCCTCCGGGCTAGCTGGGACAATAAGTATGTACCACCATACTTGGCTCATTTTTTTTTCTTTTTTATTAGTAGTGACGGGGTCTCACTCTTGCCCAGGCTAGCTATTCTTCAAAGATATTAAAGCACAGCTACAAAGTATATGCCAAAAAACTCGGCTGCATTTATATATAAGAAATGTAATGTTTTCAGTTAGTACGAAATTATAAAGATCCATAGAAATAATTATCATGGAATAAAGATAATGTATCAGCATTAACATTAATGGTCATGATTCTGAAATACTATTGTTTGTTCAGAGAGTTAGGCATTTTTTACAGATTGGAAGATTTCACTGGAAATGTTAAAGCTAAAATAACAAGTCTACAGAAAAAGGACTACAAAAAGTGCGTTTTAAAATCAAGCAGAAGCCAGGTGCTGTAGCTCACACCTGTAATCCCAGCACTTTGAGAGGCCGAGGCAGGCAGGCAGATCAGGAGTTCAAGACCAGCCTGGCCGACATGGTAAAACCCTGTCTCTACTAAAAATCCAAAAATTAGGTAAGCGTGGTGGCAGGCGCCTGTAGTCTCAGCTACTCAGGAGGCTGAGGCATAAGAATCAGTTGAACCCAGGAGGCAGAGGTCACAGTGAGTTGAGATTGCACCACTGTACTCCAGCCTGGGCAAGAGAGTGTGAAACTCTCTCTCAAAAAAAACAAAAACACAAATATAAAATCAAGCAGAAAGATACTAGCAGGTTTAGGCCAGTCATAGTAGCTCATACCTATAATTCCAGCACTTTGGGAGGCCAGGTCTGGAGGATTGCTTGAGCCCAGGAATTCAAGACTAGCCTGAGCAACATAAGGAGACCCCATCTCTACAAAACTTACCAAAAAAATTAGCCAGGCATAGTGGCCAGTACCTATGGTCTCACCTACTCAAGAGATTTGAGCCCGGGAGGGTGAGATGAGCCATGATCGCCCCACTGCACCCCAACCTGGGCAACAGAGCGACAGCCTGTCTCAAAAAATAAATAAATAAAGTTAAAATCACAAGGGAAAATATATTTTACCATTTATTAAGTGGAAATAGTTCATCATAAAGATCTTCGTCCTCATCATCTTCACATTGACTAGATGGAAGAAGAGGGAGTTGTTTTTTGGGGGGGTTTTCTTTGTTTTTTTGGAGACGGAGTATCTCCCTGTTACCCAGGCTGGAGTGCAGTGGCGCGATCTCAGCTTACTGCAACCTCTGCCTCCCGGGTTCAAATGATTCTCTTGCCTCAGCCTCCCAAATAGTTGGAACTACAGGCACCTGCCACCATGCCCGGCTAATTTCTATATTTTTAGTGGACAAAGGGTTTCACCATGTTGGCCAGGCTGGTCTCTAACTCCTGACCTCGTGATGATCTGCCCGCCTCAGCCTCCGAAAGTGCTGGGATTACAGGTGTGAGCCACCATGCCCAGCAATGGAGTTGTTCTTAACTGTCTCAGGAGTGGCAGAGGCAAAAGAGGTAGAAGTAGAAGGAGAGGCAGGCACACTCGGTGTAACCTTTATTGAAAACAATCCTTATATAAATGGACTTCTGCAGCTCAATCCTGTGTTGTTCAAGGAACAACTGTATGTATATGTGTGTGTATATATGTGTGTGTGTGTATATATATAGGTATGTGTGTATGTATATGTATACTTCATTAAGCATTTTCAAATATGACTGATTTATAGAAAATAAGTGTTTTCATAGTTTTATTACTGATAAGAAAGAAAATATCTAGGGGTGTTTGCTCTATTTGTCTTTTCACGGTAAATGTATAACTTAAAACATTACATTTTCATCAAAATAAAAGAAATCTGTAATATTTAGACACGTGCCCCTGCTTTTCTCCTCGTTTGAGTTTTATGCAGCTTTCCGTTTCAGGGTCATGGGACTGGCTTACTCCAGAGCTACCATATTCTCTGTGTGTGTGTGTGTGTGTGTGTGTGTGTGTGTTTTTGTTTTTTTTTTTTTTGAGACAGACTCTCACTCATTGCCCAGGCTGGCACAATCTCAGTTCACTGCAACCTCTGCCTCCCGGGTTCAAGCGATTCTCCCACCTCAGCCTCCCGAGTAGCTGGGACTACTGGCATGAGCCACCATGCCTGGCTAATTTTTTTTGTACTTTTGTAGAGACGGGTTTTCACCATGTTGGCCAGGCTGGTCTTGAACTCCTGACCTCAAGTGATCCACCTGCCTCAGCCTCCCAAAGTGCTGGGATTATAGGCATGAGCCACTGCACCCAGCCTGCCCTGCCCTTTTATGGTGGGCATGGTGGTGTTTTTTGTTTTACCCAGATTTTCTAGAACTGAATTATGAGGGTTGGTTTGTTTGTTTGAGATGGGGTCTGGTTCTGTCATCCATTCTGGAGTGCAATAGCATGATCTCAGCTCACTGCAACCTCCACCTCCTGGGCTCAAACCATCCTTCTACCTCAACCTCCCAAGTAGCTAGGACTATAGGCGTATACCACCACGCCTGCCTGGCTAATTTTTGTATTTTTGGTAGAGATGGATTTTCACCATGTTGCCCAGGCTGGTCTCAAACTCCTGGGCTAAAGCAGTCCACCCACCTCAGGCTCCCAAAGTGCTGGGATTACAGGTGTGAGCCACCGCTCCTGGCCCATATACTTTTTTTTTTTTTAAAGACAAAAAAAAAAACTTCTTGTTCCTCTTTTCTCTCTCCTCCCTTATATATCTTCTCACTTTTTCTTTCTGTCATTGACCATACCTCACCAATTACCAGTTAAGGATTAAGTAGCAATTTCATGTGTCTTTCTGGTGATATCTAAATGACACTCAGAACCTCTTCTTGTGATTTTGAAAACAAAATAAATAAATGCACTTTACAAAATTTTTTATTCCATCATACTTTTCAAAAGTTTTCATCTATGTATTGATATGTTCATTTTTACATTGAAGGAAAGACCAAGAAGTGCAGTGGAACAGCTCTGCTTGGCTGAAAGTACTCGACCTAGGATGACGGTGGAAGAGCAAATGGAAAGAATAAGAAGACATCAACAAGCGTGCCTGAGGGAAAAGAAAAAAGGATTAAATGTTATTGGTGCTTCAGACCAGTCACCCTTACAAAGCCCTTCAAATTTAAGGGATAATCCATTTAGGACTACTCAGGTATATGAATTGCATTTGATTATTCTTTTGTGTGAATCTAATATCACTGAATTTTGGAATCAGAGTTATATGATTGATAGGTCTTAAAAGGTCTGCAGTATGGATAGTTATTTTATATTATTTAATTCTTGTAATAATAAGCTAAAACAGCTAAGTAAAATGTAAATAACCCTGAGTTCAAGATACCAGAGCTAAACTACATGTTGGATGCCCGTGGACCAGTTGTGGACTTAATGTCTTCAACTGTACGGTGATAATACAGCTGCCCAGACACTAAGAAAATAAAAGGGTTTTCAACAAATGTAAAATGCTATGCAGGTTACCAAGATAGTCCCCAATTCCCCTCTCAATAAAATGTGTATTGCTCTGTGTCCTAATTTAACATGACCTAAATGGTAGCAGGAGAGAGCTTCTAAATAAAGTTCCAAGTGTGCTGTCCATCACCTCTCACTTCAGGCTTAAAAAGTGATGCCATTTTGTTTCTTTTTTTTTTTTTTTTTTTTTGCCACTCTTTATAAATTCAGAGATAGCAGCCTAGTCAACCTGTTCAGTAGCTTCTGTCTGGTCTGTCCCTGTTTGTAGACACTTGTCACCTAGCAATAGTATCTTAAAAGTTTGTCTATAATGGCATAAACTGAATGCATCAGCTGAACATGCTTTCCTGTCCTAATGGACATCCCCTCTTTCCATCTAATCAAGAGCGGGCATTGCTAAAGGAGACTAAACAAAGCAACAGTCTGAATTGTGGCACATTCTGCAAATTACAAAATAAATGCTTTTTTTAAAAGAGATGAGAAAAATGTGTGGAATACTGCTATATATATAAATTTTCTTTGTTAGTTTTCATAAGAAAACTTCATGAGTGAAGAGCCAGCTTTGTTCTATTTTCAGAATTAACAGGCACTATTTATAAAATATACATGCATGCACAGTATGAATATAAAAATGCTATACGTCTTTTGAGCAGACTCGAAGGAAGGATGATAACGTTAAGGAACTGGACATTGTCATTAGAGAAAATGATGTAAAGCCAGACCGTGAAACTCCCACAGCAGAAATTGTTCAACTAAAAGAAACTGAACCCCAAAATGTGGACTTCAGCAAAGAGGTAGCGAGATTATTTTAAGAAAGGTATTCCAAAGGAATAGATTAGTGAAGATTAAATCAAGTGGTAAGGTTGAAAATAAAGTATATTTCTTTCAGTTACAGAGGCCATAGAGCTAAATGAAAAAATAAGCTTTCTTTAGTTTGATTGATGTATTCAGCCTCATCAAAGCATGCATTAATTGGCCAAACACAGTGGCTCGTGTGTATAATCCCAGCACTTTGAGAAGCTGAGGCAGGCGGATCACTTGAGCTCAGGAGTTTGAGACCAGCTTGGGCAACATGGTGAAACCCTGTCTCTACTAAGAATACAAAAATTAGCCAGGTGTGGTGGCATGCATCTGTAATCCCAACTGCTACTGGGGAAACTGAGGTGGGAGGATCACCTGAGCTCAAGTTGCAGTGAGTAGAAATGGGCCACAGAGTGAGATCCTGTTTCAAAAAAAAAAAAAAATGCGGCCTGGCACAGTGGCTCACGCCTGTAATCCCAGGACTTCGGAGGCCGAGATGAGTGGATCACTTGAGGCCCGGAGTTCAAAATCAGCCTGGCCAAAATAGTGAAACCCTGTCTCTACTAAAAAATACAAAAGTTAGCCAGGCATGGTGGCACATGCCTGTAATCCCTACTTGGGAGGCTGAAGCAGGAGAATTGCTTGAAGCCGGGAGTCGGAGGTTGCAGTGAGCCGAGATCGCGCCACTGCCCTGTAGCCTGGAGGACAGAATGAGATTCCGTCTCCAAAAAAAAGAAGGAAAAAAGAAAAATTTTTTGGCCGGGCGCGGTGGCTCAAGCCTGTAATCCCAGCACTTTGGGAGGCCGAGACGGGCGGATCACAAGGTCAGGAGATCGAGACC